GCCTCGGCCTCCCAGAGAGCTAGGATTACAGGTGTGAGCCACCGCGCCCGGCCAGTTTGAACCAATTTTATTAGTTGACTTTTAATGCCAGTAACTAATTTTTTTTGTTTTCTTGTTCATGCCAGTATGAACATTTTGATAGAAATCAGCCTAGATAAACCAATTCTAAAGTTGGGAATAGGTTATGCCCTGCTTTTTTTATATCTGCAACTTTGAAAATCAATGTTATTTTATGAATTATACTCTTAATGCTTTTTAAAAGGGAATTATGGCATATTATACTTTCAAATTAAAATGCATAATTCTGTGCTAGGTCAGATTACTCTTCAGGTGTAAATGAAGTACTTTGAAATATGTATTTCTTAGTTACATGTATGTTTTATGGTCTTAACAAATATTTTATTACAAAAAATTTTAAACATACATAAAAGTACAGAGAAATATAATGAATGCTTGTGTTTTCTACTGCCACTGTAACAAATTACTACAAATTTAGTGATTTAAAACAACACAAGTTTATTACCTAAAGTTCTGCAGGTCATGAGTCTGACTTGGGTCTCACTGGGCAGGACACCTGCAGGCTCTGCAGAGAAGTCATTTCCTCGCCTTTGCTACCTCTGAGCGCCGCCTGCCAGACTCCTCGGCTTGTGGCCCCTTCCTCCATCTTCAACGTCAGCAGCAGGGGGCCGAGCCCTTTCTTCCACTGTGGCATCTGTTTCTGACTCTGGAACGGCTGGGATTGTAAGGACCCAAGTGATCGACTGAGCTCACAGAGATAATCCAGGATAATCTCCCGTCCCAAGGTCCTTAACCTTAATCATGGCTGCAAAGTCCCTTTTGCTATGTAAGGTCCAGAGAGCAGACTGTGGGCCTCTTTGAGAGGGGACATTATTGTGCCCACTACAAGGCCCAGGTACCCATCTCCTTGCTGCAACATTAAACATTTTGCCAATATTGTTTCTCTTGGTATCTCCCACTTTTTTCCTAAAAAGAAAAAATGCAGAAATTCGTTATTTAATTTATATTAAAGCAAATTCCAGAAATCACGTGATTTTCCTGTGTATGTGTCAGTATGTTTCTCTGATAGGAACTGTCAGAAAAAGCATAACCGCAATAGCATTGGCGTAACAAAATTATCAATAATTCTTTAAATGTTGTCTAACATTGAGTCCATGTTTGTTTCCCAAAGTTTTAAAAAAAGTCTTTTTTTTAAAGTTTGTTTATCCTAATTATGACCCACACAGGGTCCATAAACTGCAGTTGGCTAATGTGTCTCTCCAGTTTCCTTTTTTTAAGAGGGGGGAGGGGTGTGTCTCACTATGTCGCCCAGGCCACATGCGAACTCTCTGACTCCAGCTCCTGGGCTCAGGGATCCCTCTGGCCGGCCTCTGCGGCCGCTGGGATTGCAGGTGCACCGGCCCTCCATCCGGCCTTCCTAACAGCAGCTCCCTCACCACCGCCCCTTTTCTTCTATTCTGGCACCTCTCGTTTTTGAGTAAGGAAAGGGGGTCACGTGGACTGCGCGATTCCCCACCTCGTGGACTGGGCAGTTTGCTTCCTGGTGGTGTGTCCCACACTGCGGCCCCGTGTGTCCTGAGCCTGTCGTTAGAGGCACGAGCTTAACCGGGTTTTCAGTTTCTGGTTCTGGTTCTGGTCAGCCAGAACCCTCGGGCTGAGGCTGCCCGCGCTCTGCGGGGCCGCACCCGCATTTGCAGTCTGTGCTCCCGGCTGTGGCGACGTGAAGATGTTCACCGGACGTGGCCGAGAAGATCGCAGCGCTCCCGACTGGGGACAAGGACCGTCGGCCGCCCACGCCCGCACAGCGCGCAAATTGCGCTTCGCTTCCTGCGCGACGTCTCCCGCACCGGGCGGTCCCGCGCTGAGCCCGTTCGCTGCTTGGAACGCGGGGCGCTGGCTGCCGCTCGCAAGCTACAGGCCGACCGCGAGGATTACTCGAAGGGACGGGCGCGAAAGCGCTTCGAAAGGTGGCACGTGCCGGGGAGCGCGGTTGCGACATCAGCAGCGTTAGCTAAAAGGAGAGAAAAGGAAATCCGCGATACTGCATGGTTCGGTTCTCACGCAGTCATCGCGCGTTTCCGCGGGCCCGGGAGGGCGGGCGCAGAGGGGCAGGGCGGCCCGGCCGTGGGCTGCGGGGCTGCGGGGCTGTGCGGGGATGCGGGCTGCGGGGCTGCGGGCTGTGCGGGGATGCGGGCTGCGGGGCTGAGGGCTGTGCAGGGCTGCGGGCTGTGCGGGGCTGCGGGCTGCGGGCTGTGCGGGGCTGTGCGGGGATGCGGAGCCGCGGAGCCGCGGGGCTGCGGGGCTGTGCGGGCTGCGGGCTGCGGGGCTGCGGGCTGCGGGGCTGTGCGGGGCTGCGGGCTGTGCGGGGCTGCGGGCTGCGGGGCTGAGGGCTGTGTGGGGCTGCGG